CAACTACTAACAGTTAAGTAGGTATTAATTTTCCAGAAGGCAACTTGGCCATACAAGACAAATGTCTTAAAATGGGTCCCTTCCTTCCTTCCTTCTTTCCTTCCTTCCTTCCTTCCTTCCTTCCTTCCTTCCTTCCTTCCTTCCTTCCTTCCTTCCTTCCTTCCTTCTCCTTTGGTCCAGAAATAACACTTCTTGGAATTTATCCTAAGACAACAATAATAAATGTAGGCAAAGTTAAACATATAGAGCTATTCAGCACAGTGATTATTTTTTCTCATAAAGGCCCAAGAGTTTGGGTTTTGTTGGGCATATTTTACTATGCCTATGTTGTTAACAAACGGCCATTTAAAATGTGGCTTTAAAACACTATTAACGTGGGAAATATTTACAATATATAATTAGTAAAAAAGCGAGGTTTAAAATAGTATTCTAGCATGACTTTTTGTTGTTAGAAAATACGTTTGTAGCCAGGGAAGCAAGGAAGGATACATACCCAAATGTTAGCAGTGATTTACTTTTTGTAATTAGTTTTTCTGTTTGTATTTAGTTGGATTTTCCAATATTTATTGAGTATATTTTATTTTTATCATAAAACAAAATTTTAAGTTCTACTATATTAAACTATGAAAATCTATGTTTTCTTAAATGCCTAGAGAAGAAGGGCAGCAATTCCACATTTTACCACACACAAAAAATTAAGGATTAAATTGTGTCTATAAAAGCTCACGACAGGCTCCGCCACCGCCAACTGAGCAGATCTGGCTCCACTCGCTCGCGCGCCTCGCTCCGCTTCCTTTCGCAACCATGTCTGACAAACTCGATATGGCTGAGATTGAGAAATTCGATAAGTCGAAATTGAAGAAGACAGAAGCGCAAGAGAAAAATCCACTGCCTTCAAAAGAAACGATTGAACAGGAGAAGCAAGCAGGCGAATGGTAATGAGGCACGCACCTCTGAAATGCACTGTACATTCCACAAGCGTTGCCTTCTTAATTTACTTCTTTTAGCCATTTAACTTTGTAACATGCAAGGAGGTTGGATCAAGTTTAAAATGACTGTGCTGCCCCTTTTCACATCAGAACTACTGACAACGAAGGCCGCGCCTGCCTCTCCCATCTGCCTGTCTTGCTGGCAGGGATGGAAAAGAACTTGCATGTCGCTGAAGGCAAAGCTGGGTTGGAATGACAGTGAAATCCAGAGTAAAAACCAAGCTGGTCCTAAGTGTCCTGCAGGCTGCAAAATACAGTTTCATGAGAGTGCCATTTTGTTGTTAAAATGATTTTAATTATTGGAATGCACAAGTTTTTAAATAATGCAAATAAAAAGTTTTAAAACCTGGAAAAAGAAGTTCATGATAGATTAAACTAAATGTCCATCATAAACTTGGATAAATTGAAATATTCCCCTTATAGTTGAAAGAATTCTTACAGGTCATATGAGCTAATCTTCCAACTAATGTAGAAATAGACTCTACAATATCCTTGATAAGCAATCTAAACTTACTGAATTTAGAGATAGATTTATTTTATTCATGAAAAAGTGGATCTTAGCTAAATTATAACAGAAGCCAATTTGAAATAAGGACACGAATACTCTGTAACTACACTATGGATATTTAGGTGCAATTGTGCATGATAAGGGAGTGGGTGTATTACTGAATAGATGCTCTTTGAAAAATCCATTCAAATTAAATAATTGACTTTTGGCTACTGTTCTTGGTATTTAGTGTGTAGTTAGCATCACCATTCACCAGAGACTGTTTTTAAATGGCCCGATAGAAAAATTAGGAACACTTCACTAGTATAGCACTCTCATAGGGGCTGATATACCAGACCCCATCCATAAAAATACCTAGGACAAAGGTTTCATTCAGAACCTCACTCGGCAGTTTCTTTTATATTTGTAACTATATATAAGTAAAAAAAAAAATTGTCTTTATAATCATACCATTTTGTAAAGTGAAAAGGTAACTTTCAAAAATTAACATTAAATTAAACAAACCAGAAAGATACACAAACAAACGATACTGAAAAATGTCAAACTCATAGAAACAGAATAGAAAAGTGGTTGCCAGGGGCTGGGGAGAGAAGGAAATAGGGAGAGGCTGGTAAAGGGTACAAGCTTTCAGTTATAAGATGATTAGTTCTGGAGAACTAATGTATAACATAATAACTATAGTTGATAACACTGTATTATATAATAGAAATTTGATCATAGTGAAACTTAAATATCCCCCCACAAAAAAAGGTAAATATGTGAGGTAATGGATGTGTTAATTTTGCTAATTAATTTGATATCTTTTCACAGTGTGCGCATATATCAAGTCATCACATTTTCCACTTTAAGTATGTTTCAATCTTATTTGTCAGTTATAGCTCAATAAAACTGAAGAACATAATATGAATGGTCTAGTGTCATTTTTAAACCCTAATTATATAAGAAAAAAATATAAAGGAAAAAGTATCTAGAGAATTATAAGAAAATGTTAATAGTAATTATGTCTGGGGGAAAAGCTTATAATAAAATTTTAGAATAGCAAAATGATTTCTAAAAGGACAATTCCTTTAGAGCAATACTGAATGCAACCCTTACTAAAAGGGATTGGACAAATAATAGGAGTATGCTGCCTGAAAGAGGCTATTGCATTGGACCTGGCCATTCCTTTACTCTAAAATCCCATTTTCTATCTTTTTAAAATTTTTTTATTGGGTTGTTTCCTCCATTAGAAGAGGAGATATTATTTTGGTTTTTGTCTTTTTTCCTGTATATAAATGCCATATAAATACTCTACATTAGTGGATGTCAATATATATATTTTTTACTTTCAAAAGATGCCATTGATCATTGTTATACTTTTAGTGTCAGTTGACTGGAGGGAAAATTACATATATACACTTTGATTTCTAGTTGCCATATCTGCTCTGTGCTTCAGATTTCCAAGACAAATGGTTTGGGAACTACTGTTCTTTATCTTTTCGTGTTTGATACATAAAGGTGGTTTAGTACACTGTGTGATGATACAGATGGTGGTAAAATTACTTTTCTTTAAAAAAACGACAACCACTAAAATAATCACAGAAATCTATGTTCTATAGCTTAGAGCATACTTTCTTATTCTAGAAAATATTCTGAAAATTTTTGCTTACTACTGGTCTGTGAATTCTTTGAAACCCACAACAATTCCTATAGCATTCAGTGTAATCATCTGCTTGACCAACTTCATTATAATGCAGTTAGATTGAATTTATGAGTTAAGAATTATATTTGTTAGTTTCCTTTCCCCTCAAATCTCCCTTCCTTCCTTCCTATATTTTCTTTCCATCTGGTTTCTAGGAGTAGTTTTGTGGATAGATTGACTATCGATTAAAATTTAAACTAAAAACCTTAACTTTAAAAGGCTCTTTTTGTGCTTGTCTTTCAATTCTTATCTCATAATTCCAGCATTTCAAATACTAAGCATCGCCAATGTTGCCTTCTTGACATAACTGGGCCTGACTGCCCTTCAAATTACCTCTATTTCAAAATGAAGTATTCCTCCTCTCTTACCATAAGAATATTTCCACATTAAAAAATATATCTAGGAGCTGATTGGTTCTTTTATAGTTCACATTAAGGTATGAGTGACTAGTAATCTGCCCTAAAACTCTAAAAAAAGATGGTTTATTAATAGAAATAGCATGTAATTAGTTGAGTTTCAGGCAGGGAGGCAGATGTTTTTGGATAAAGGAAACAATTTGATAGCTTGTGGATAAAATTAAGAGGCCTACCCATCCACCAGTGTTCTGCTTAGGTTCAAGAATCTTATAGAAGAATTTACTTTTACTTGGCTTCTCCATACAACTGACCCAAGAATACACTACCAAGCACATATTTTAGATCATTTCTTGCCCTTCTTGTAGGCCCATGGTCAGCTCTGTTTCTTTGTTCTTTTGGGAGTTGGGCTGTTGCTCAGTTGACAACTATCCTTAGCTTATATCCTCTTGGAATCCTTTTCCCAGATCCATCCCAGAAAAAGTAATCTCCAGCCCTAGCCCCCATCCCAGCTTGGGTTTATTGAACCAGACCAAGATATTTTTTTCTTGAACATTCAGCATAACGATCTGTCCTATCCATTAACTAATATTATTTAATATAAACTCCACATTATGTAGAGCTGTTGCTTACAACAAGCTCAGAGAATTCTGTTGGCTCCTCTCCTAAGGTCTTTTTTTTTTTAATGCAAATATTCCAAGTGTGAATAGCTCTTTTAACTAATTTGCACTGAGGTGTTAGTGATTTTTTTTTTTAATGGCCTTTATTCCTCAGAAGAAATTTAGGCAGGGAGATTAGAGAATGGAGGAGGGAGGATATGCAAAGGTAAAGGGAAGAGGAAAGAGGCAAAGAAAGAGGGAGGATAAGCATAATTGAAACTGATACTATGTAAAGACTTCATAATTTAGCCACGTCATGGTTTTTACTTTGGGGAACACGTTTTAGAATAATATCTGGAGGAAGTGCGTTAAATGAGTTTACTCTTTAAGTGATACTTCTATGAAACCCAAGGAGACCAATTGTGAATCCCAGGTTTCCAAATATAGAATTTTTCGTAAGTATTGATCCAGACTTTTCATGGTATTTATAATAGAAAGGCAAGCTTTCATACTCTTGATAAATAAAAAAACAAAAACAAACAAACAAGAAACAAGTTATTCACATATCTCATGGACTCTGTAAACTGTTTAAAGTTTGTGAAATGATAAAAACTTTTCCTCAAAGTGTGACAATATTATTCATGCCTTAGGACATGTTAGATATAAGAAAATAGATTTTCTCTCAGCTATCTACAGAAAAGAAAGATTTCTTATAAAGAGTCAAGGTGTCTCACAGAACTCAACAGCAAGAAACACAGGCAGATCTCCCAATGGATTGGAACTGGCAGCTGAAAAGTCCTCAGTGACTAAGGCAATTCTTGGTTCATTTTTCCTTTCCCTCAATCTCATCCCCTCCCCCACTGCACATTTACCACAGTCTTTAATTTTCCTTGTCTCTGTGTTTCTGTGTTTCTAGCCTCTCTCTTTTTTAAAAATTTAATTGGGGAAGGGAACAACAGTACTGGGGAATTGGGGAACAGTATTGGGGACATTGTGTTTTTCCAGGACCCATTAGCTCCAAGGCAAGTTGCTGTCCTTCTATCTTAGTTGTGGAGAGCGCAAGCTCAGCTCCAAGTCCAGTCGCCACTTTCAATCTAGTTGCGGGGGAGGGGGGATGAAGAGGGGTGGGAAGGGAGGCGCACAGTTCATTCAATCTAGTTGCGGGGGAGTGGGGGTGAAAAGGGGTGGGAAGGGAGGCACACAGTTCACTATCCTATGTGGGAGTCGAACCGGCAACCCTGTTGCTCAGAGCTCGTGTTCTAACCAACCGAGCCATCTGGCTGGTCCTCTAGTCTCTTTTGACAAAGCAGCTTTCTCACTCGCATTTTTCATGGCACATTTTGTAGGGTTGCTCCATTGAGCAAATAAAAATACAGGATGCCTATATTTTACCTGGTAACCCTAAATGATGCCTAGCCAATCCAATGCCCTCATTTCCCGAGTCACCTGGTCCACAACCAGAGCTAATTTACAGACGTTTCTGTGTCTTCTTTCAAAATTCAGGGGGTAGAATCTAATTAGTTCAGCAGGAGCCAGTGGTCAGCCCTAGCGGGTAAGATAATCACAGGGTCCATCTCTACAGGTGGGAAGCATTGTCAGAAAAGGGGTAACTGCTGATGAGTCAACCCCAAATATTATCTAATAAATATAAGTATAGGCTATAAGTAAATCTTGTTATACATTCACAAGTTGCTCTTACAAGTTTCTTGGGTTCGTTGTCCAAGCTTTTTATTGGTCTTTGTATTTCCTGGTGTCTAGAATCTGGTACTTTATACATACTGATAAATTGGGTTAAACAAGAAAAAATCCAAAAATT